TGTACAGTTCGGACCCCGTATAATTCTTACTAACAGAGACCCCCAAAAAGAGCAAGATACTATTGGAGAAGGGCTATTATTTATAAACTGAGACGGAACTGACATGTGTGAATAAACCCTAAGGATGATACAGAAGTTAAATGTAGAAAAATTATGAAAATTTAAGTTTTTAAGACCGTTTTATTAAAACTGAATATTAAAAAATTATCCTAAGAATAAAATAATAGCTGATAAATAATATAAAAATATTTAATTAACTATTTGCTTTAATTCTATTAAAACAGCTAGCTTTCTAGGCTAATGCTCTAAGCTGCAAAATTATTGATTAACACATATAAATATAAAGAATATCTACGGGACATGCAAATATTTAAAATACTTCTGGATCAGTGGTAAACACAGAACGCATGCAAGCTAAAAATATTGAGTGACACCTTGTGACTGGTACAGGTTGGTCCATTTTAAATGGAAAGTAGGCCTTCTCGGCTTTTTATGTAAACAATGAAAATATATTGGAAGAATCAAAATCACAAAAAAATATAAAATATAGAATATACAGGGTGGCCCGAACTGTATTCCGGAAACTTCGGCAGCATATTCTGCAGATAAAAATAAGTAAAAAAGTTCGTATAAATGTACAGTGGTGGCCAAAAGTATGGAAACTTTTTACTTTTTAAAACATCACAGAAAATATTGCTATGCTTAAACTCTCAGGAATATAAATGAACAGCTTATTAGCAAATAAAAGTATTCCAAAAATTACACAGCGAAAAAAATCTGTTTTTGTAGGAGAACAATAGATTTCTTGTGGCCAAAAGTATGGAAACCATAAATAAATACATTAAAATTATTTAGTTTAAGCTGATAAACGGTACGATTTGCTTCAGATAAATATAAACATCATGCCCAAGTCTAAATATTTCTCTACGGATTTAAAAAATAAAATAGTTGAATTATACAAGAGCGGTTATAAACAAATTCAAATAAGTAAAAATTTAAACATTTTAAAATTCACCGTTTCGAAAATAATTCGTAAATTTAATAAAACAGGGAACGTTTCAACAGCTTTTAAGTCAGGAAGACCAAGAAAGTTGTGCAACAGGACAATAAAACAACAGGAAAAACATCCACAGACATTTCTCGAGAAATGGGTGAAAGGGGAATATCGGTGTCTGCACGCACGGTGAGAAGAAGGTTGGATGACATAGGACTTTTTGGAAGAGTTGCGGTGAAGAAACCACTAATATCAAAGAAAAATAGGATGGCCTGCTTTAAATTTGCTCAAGATCATCTCACCTGGTCTTATCAGAAATGAAATACTGTACTGTTTAGCGACGAAAGCAAGTTTCAACTGTTTGGTAGTGACGGGAGACGTTATGTCCGAAGACCAAAAGGTACACGGTACAGCCATAAGTACCACATGCCCACAGTAAAACATGGGGGTGGGAGTATAATGGTATGGAGGTGTTTTTCTCGCTCAGGTGTTGGTCCTCTTGTTAAAATTGATGGGATAATGGACCGTTTTTTGTACAAAGACGTATTGGAGAATAATATGCTGCCTCATGCTGATGAACAAATGCCACTCAGATGGTTGTTCCAGCAAGACAATGACCCCAAACACAAATCTCGGTTTGTTCAAAATTGGTTAAATGAACATAATGTTCCACTAATGGATTGGCCCTCACAGTCTCCGGATCTTAACCCCATAGAAAATTTATGGGACCATTTGGATAGCAAAATTCGAAGCCATTCTATTTCAAATAAAAATGAATTATGGGAAGTGCTAAAAACTGAATGGGCGGCCATTTCCAGTAAAGATTGTACGAGATTGATCGATTCGATGCCACGAAGATGTAGAGAAGTAATTAATTCAAAGGGATATTCCACTAAATATTAGTAATTTTTATATTATCTTGAATTTTAATAAACATTCTTCTTAAGTTTCCATACTTTTGACCAAGAAAATATTCATAATTTTTTATATATTTTTTGAAAGCTGTAATTTTTTATTAAAATGTATTAGGTTTTGTAGGAAATTATTTGTAGGTCACGATTATATAAGTCGTTTTGTTTCATATTTTAATTTCTCAGCATAAATGACAAATTAAAAAAGTTTCCATACTTTTGGCCACCACTGTATGTCCTAAAATGCTTAGTTTCGGAGATACAGGGTGTAGAAGTTTCATTTTTATTTCGATTTTTTCCAAATAATTTCTGAAGTAACGTCAATATTTAGATGAAAATTGGCGTCGGTGAGTTTTTTTACATGAGAAATTTGATTTTGAAGTCAATATGACTCCTATTTGTAGGGGGCGCCACCTACATACATGTGTCTTAACTGTTTTGAACTTTTCGTCCTGTATAAAACTACCGAGTGAAAAAATATACATTTAAATCGAAATAGATATGAAAATTCTACACCCTGTATCTCATAAACGAAGCATTTTAGGACATAAATGTATAAGAAATTGTTTACTTATTTTTATCTGCAGAATATGCTGCCGAAGTTTCTTAAATACAATTCGGACCACCCTGTATATTAATATATACAGTGTGTTTAAAAAATGAGTGGGTGATTCCTCATTTAAAAATATGGAAAAAATAAATTTAAGATACAGGATGTTAAACTTTAAAAAATAAAAAAAATATTTTTTTTTTGTAATTATCTTAAATACCCTGTAGCCGACGTTCTTATTTTTTTATTTTCTAGTAATAACGGCCTAATTTAAGACCAATTAAATAAAAATTATTAACTTCAGTGCCGTCCCAGTGGATACCGTAAAATGGGGTGAATAGAAACAGTTTCGTAGGCTATTAGCGATATACCGGTTGATAAAAATGTGATATTATTTTCCCGTATATTTTAAAACATGGGTCTTTGTTTGTTCTTTGCGTATACATACAATTTGATTTTTGAAAAATATGCATATAAATATTAAATAAAAATAACATTTGTGTTTCTATTCACCTGCTATTCGGGAGAATAGAAACACACATTGATGTTAAGGTTTTTATCTATTCTATTTCCAACAAAGTGATTAGAAACAGTAAATTATTACATATTTAAGTAGGTTTAGCAATAATTAACAATACATATAATATAACAACTTACATGTACCAGCTTATGTATTACTTTAAAAATAAATATTTTATTTATAAAGTTTTCGCGCCATACAAAATAGGTGATAAATCGATCTCACATTTATTGATAATCGGATTGACAGAAACAGTGCTGCCACAGATAAAAATATAGTTTTTACATTTTATTGTGTATTACCAATGATAGAAAAATTAGATATGTCGACTCTTTTTACTTTGAATATTTTTAATCGTGATTTGATTTTTTTCAGAAATTTTGTTTCTATTCACCACTATGTTTCTATTCCCCCCATTTTACGGTACCTTATCGAAAATAATTGAGAAAAAATGTACGCTACTGACTTCTTGTATTATTTTAGCTAAAGCAACTAAAAATACAATTTTTTTTTCTTTTGTATCATATGCCTAAATCAATTCAATGCAGGTCTATTAAGCACCCCATAAAAAAAAATTAAAAATTAAGTTTTAATTTGCACAGTTGTAAAGTTTGTAAAATACTTGATAACACAAAATGCAATTTATAACATTGCTGTTCAGTCCTACCTAAAAGAAATTAAAAAAAAAGAGAATGGTATTTAAGACAATTACAAAAAACCTAATTTTAAAAAGTTTTAACACCCTGTAGCTCTAAAACTATGCATTTCCAGACCCACGTTTATAGGAACTTTAGTCCCTATATTGATTAGAAATCACACCAATATTTCATAGGGAAAAAAATGTTGTCAGAGGCAAAACTCCCAGATTTTGCAGTAAATAAACAGTATTTAGGAATTAAAAATAAAATAAAAATGTTTTCCCAAAATAATTTATTTTTTATCTTAAAATGAACCAGCCTGTACAAAATTTACCTAGTAGAAAACATAACAGCTTTTATTTTTTCAAATGTCTTAACATCACCTTAAACATACATTCTAGACTAACAAGGTTTATTTTCTTTTTTAAAATACTCTAAACAATATCTTTCATCAGATTCCAACAAAGGTTTGGCGTCTTTCATAAGATCATTAAAAGAAATTTCTTGAAAAACAACAGTTTCAATTTCAGAATCTGAAGCAACAGCAACACAATGATCGTCATCGATAAGCATCTCTTGAAAATGCCAATTATGTAGTTTTTTATCCTTATAAAATAGTTCTGTATCAGTCACTACATTAAATGTATTCAATGGAGAATTTATTCTAAAACTAACCTCGTTTAATTTAATTGTTATACCTATACTAGTCGCCTTAACGTAACTTTCTTTTAAAGCCCACAATCTACAGAAAGTCTTCACTTGGTCTTTTTCATTCGAGAATGAATAAATCTGTTTCCACTCAGGAGTCGAAAAATTTCTGTTCATTATCCGAAAAAATTCACTAACCGGCTTACCACCACTATATTCCAGTTTCATTACATCTACACCTAACAATAAACTACTAAAATGCCCTGCCAAAACTGTATAATCTCCTTGATGAGATACATTAAACGATACCGAATCATTTGATTCAACTACCGGTCTACCCTTATTGTTCCTCACAAAAGTTATATCGTTATAAGGCTTTGCCAAAACCTGAGAAACAAATTTTCTCATCAACAATAAACCTATTAAAGAAGATTTAAAGTCTTTTTGGAAAACAAACTTGCTCAAACGCACTTTTTCTTCTGGCTGAATACAGGAAGTGGCCAGTAATAGTTCGTGATAGGTCGGGGTCCATTTCGAGAAATTAAAAAACCACCTAACGTTAGTTTGTGCCATTTTTTCGAGTAAACTCCTCCAATACACGATTTAGTCAATGAATAGGACCTAACAAATAAAAACGATATTCAGTGTCTGAGTTTTTTCTGTCTAGAATGTATGTTTAATTTGATGAAAGACGTAGAAATTTGTGAGGAATAGGTAAATATAATTTTAGAATACTTACCATACAATACTGCATTCTTTGGACCTCTATCACTCATGGAAGAAGTAGCATCCAATTTTGAATTGACTAGTAGCGGTGTGTTACATTCATATTCATTGTAGTATGACCCTAGAATTAATTTGGTTTCTTAATTACCTTCATTAAACACTACACAGCCTGAAATTATTGTAGCTATGTTTTTCACAAATAAAAATCTAAATTTTCAATATCTATACATTATCTATATAACCTCAACAGCGAGATTAAAAAAAACATGGAATAGAAAATTAGTTAAATTACCTTGAGCTCCTAAATACAAGTTAAGAAATAAAAATAAACATATATTAAACGTAAACATTGCTACATGACAATAAAAAAACTTCACGGGTGAAAAAGTTTTGATAAACTGACAAATGCGTTAATAAATGACAATGACAAGTTACGCCTATTTATCTATGTTGCCATGTTTACACAGGGCTGCCACCTCCTCGGAACTAAAATTCCGTGTTTATTCTCTGAAATATCCGTAGAAATCCGTAGATCTAGGCCAACTTAGGGTGCATCCACACCACAGATCCACACTATCCTAGAAACGGCCTATCGGCGTAACGACCTTGAATCGATTTTCAGTGATTCTATTGGCTGAAATTTTTGAAAATAAATTTGACAGATAAAATTTCTGTCAGATGAATTTTTCAGCCAATACAATTACTGGAAATCTATTCAAGGTCGTTACGCCGTTACGCCGATACGCCGTTTTTAGGATAGTAATAAATTAGGATAGTAATAGTACTAATATTAGAAAACTTAATAAAAAAAAGACTTATTAAAAAAGTTTTATTTTAAAAAAGCAATATAAAAATAACAGCATCATAAATGTTAAATAGAGAACTCATCAAAGCTTTAAAAAATAACAAAAAAATAAATATGTACTAATCTTCAAGTAAAAACCAGCGGTATAGAAACCCTAGAATTTTTTTTTCTAATCATCAATGTCGCGTTCCACATTTTTCCATTTTTTGGCGTTTTTTAACAATTCTTTTTCGATGGGAAAATTGTGGCACACCTCATTGGCGTTTTTAAAAAAACTTTTGGTATGGAGCATTCCACAAAGCGTGTCTGTATTTAATGAACTTCGAGTTTTCGTTTTATTTAGATTAATTGCGGAAAAAATTCTTTCCACTGTTGCCGTACTATGTGGTAAAATTCTAATATGATTTACCAGTTTTACTAATAAGGGAAACATCATTTCATCATTATTATTTTTTAATAAAGATACATTGATCCAAAACTGTTCAAAGTCATCTGTAAAATCTAATTCAGATTCTGACATATTTAAGAGTTTTTTCCACTCCCTGTCTAATTCGTTGACATTATTTTCACCAACAATAGGAAAATGGTTGATAAGGGCAGCAAAGGACATATTTTTTTTGTTTTTTATGTTTGTTGGTATTAAAGAGGAAAGATATTTTAATTTATTATTTTCAAAAGGAAATCTGTCAGAAATTTGTTGCATTAATTCTTGATAAAAAGCTAAACATGATAGTTTAAATTTGTTAAGTTCACTTGTCGGGACATCCGGGTGTCGCAATATATAAACCATAACAGTAGCTCCAAGGTCTACATCATCTATACTTTTAAGATTATGTGGATTGTAAATATCAATTTTATAAAAAACATCTCTATTTTTTTCGTAAACGGCGTCTTTAATAAAAAATTGCAAAACAACTTTATACACTGTTTCTATACTACAATAAAGTTTACATATTTTTGGCTTTTCCGATTGCATTTCCTTATTTAGATCAGTGGCATAAGGAAGAATAAAATCTAAAAACTGTAAATAAAGTTTACAAAAAATGTTTTGCATTTTTTCATTAATTAATTTCGCTAATTCATTGCGAGGGTCTTCAATCACTTCATTTTGAAAAAACAGTTTAAGAGCATCCCATTGTTCTAACACTCGTTTCACTACTGCAACTAAGGAAAGCCACCTTGTTTGTGAAGGTTGCAGCATCTTATGTGGCTTATTGTTACAAAAAACTTGAAACTCTTTAAAATGTCCAGCTTTTTTTGTGCTGTACTTAAAATATTTATAAACTTCCCTAACCAGGGTTTCTACCGATTCTGGTAGTTTCTTGCAGGCATATGACGCACATAGTGCAAAACTATGACAAGAACATTTTAATATAAAGATATTTGGTATCTCATCAGTAATATATTTTGCTACAGACTGATTTCCACCCATCATAACATTTGCTCCGTCTGCAGCAAAACCTATCATGTTCTGTGAATAAGGTATATTTTGATCGTTAAAAAACTTTTTTATTGCCTGATACAAATGTAGTGAAGATGCATCTATAATCGGTATTAACGTTAAAAACAAATCTACTGTTATGTTAGTTTGAAGCAACCGCACTACTAACGCTAAATGTTTAGTGGTACCTTTATCTGTAGATTCATCAACTAACAAGGAAAATTTTTGTTTTTGTAACAAATTAACTACTTCGGTAAATTTATAATTTCCTAATACATTTTTAATAATGCCGGTGCATTTTGTTTTCCCGCAACAAATACTTTTTGCAATTTTACTATCAGGACATATAGACTGAATCAGTTGAGGAATATGATCAGCGACCACTATGGGTAAATTATGTTCTGCTATGAAAGCAGCTATTCTAATTTCACCCGTCTGGACTTGATTGTCGTGGTCACTATTCACTGAGAAGAAACTTGAGGCTGACCGCTGAGTTTTTGAGGATTTTAATTTTGTCTGATGTTTCTTACTTTGCTCGTGTCTTGTAGCTTCTGTGACCCCCCCGACGTAATCATCTCTACAGCATTTGCAATAAAATAAGGTTTTACCTTTTGAACTTTCGGATATCCAGCTAAATTTCTGTTCCCAACGTATGTTGTATTTTTGTTGATATCGAACTTTTTGTCGTTTACTGGGACCGGGAGATTCCAAATCCGAATCATCATACTCGTCACTGCTCATTTTAAAATCGAAACAGAGGCCGCTAAAATATACAATTTTTTATTGTACTTAAAAATTATTAAAATGTAAACATCACTTACCTAAGGATACTTAGTACATATAAAATCAAAAAAATACATTCACTGAAACGATAATCGACTTGTTTTTTATTCCGTATTGCTAGTGTACTTCCGTAACGGTTGTAAAAAACGATTCACAAATCACGCTCAGCCCAACTTATGTTTTTACGTACAAAATACGACCAAACAAAGATTTTTCTAGAATTCATAGTAGGCTGTAATTCCCAGAAAATAAGGTCACGACATCACGATTAGTGTGACATCTATGTTTTTATTTTAAAAACAGTCTGGAAACAAACCCAAAAGTATTATTTTATTTACTATTCGCGACTATATACAGATGGCGCTCAATATTAAGACTATAATATTATAATTTTATGTTACTTGAGTGATTTTATATCAGTTATATCTGGATGGCATTGGCATTGTAAAAATGTATTTAATAAATAAAATACAAGCGGAAATCTATAAAATTCCGTAGATTTGAAAGTAAAATCGGAGATTCCGTAGGTATCTTCTGAATTCCGTAGATCTACGGAAAAATCCGTAGGAGTGGCAGCCCTGTGTTTACAGGACAAAAAATTGTCCTAATTAGTAGAGATGGGCCAATGTCACAAATCAATTTGTTATTCGATATCTAATAAATACAAACTCATCCCTGAATATGATGAATTTACTCTTTGGTAAAAATATCACAGAAGTTGGCAACCTAAAAAACATCTCGGTTTAGGAAGCAGCGTTGCCAACTTGGCGGTTTTCTCGCTAGATCTAGCGATTTTTTAATTTATCGTGTAAAAACTTTATCTAACTTAAGAAGTTTTATAAAAATATAAAAATCGATAAAAACACTTCGAGAACAAATATATAAAAACTTTATTAAAATTCTATATCCAGTAATTGTCAACAAGAAACTTTTTATTCTTAACTAAAATCGTTAGTTGTTCTTCTGCACTTGATTTATCCATAAGTCCATAAAGAACAAAGCATTCTATAATGGTTTCTCTAACACTTTTTACTGTAGTTTTTGCATTGCCACAAATAAACAAGTTTGCTTTCTTATTTAGCAACAAATTAACAATTTCTGAGCCATTCTTCAATAATTCATGTTGGACGTAACATTTTTTAGTCGACTCCCTTGAAAAGGAGGTAAATAATTTGGTTAATGTTCCGTTTTTTATAAAATTGTATATTTCTTCTTTAAGCAAGAAATCTCTATCCTGATATCTGCATCCATAGTATAATAAAACATCCCCACTCTTTGATTGTTCTTCGTTTCTTTCTATTAGTTCTTTATGCCTAAGAAAACTTCTAAATGGAACTATCCCAGTGCCAGTTGCTATCAAAACAGTAGGCTCAGTTGAAATAGTATAATTAAAATCACCCGATTTTCGAAAATAAAATGGTATTTTTGTGTTTTTAATATCCTGATTTTTATACAGTTTATCTAGCCAACCAGTACATACTCCTTTAGTTCCATTATCGTATTCTACAACATGGAAAATTATAGAAAGAATATCTGTCTCTAGAGGTGAAGAGGCTATCGAGAAGTATCGAGGATGCAAAGGACTAGAGTGCTGTAAAATTATCTCAACTGGTGGAAAGCACGAAGGAAATGCGTTAAACAAAGACAGAAGTGTTTTATGACTGTACAAGAACTCCATGTAATCAGAGGATGATGAACATATCTTTTCCAATAATTCTAGTTCTTTTGTATCTGTAGTATATTTAATAAGACTTTTGAGAAATACCTAAAAAAAATGAGTTATAGTACTACATAATCAACAGTGTGATTCAAATAGGTATAGTTTACTCAATACCTAATTTTACCTTTTTTGGAGGAAGTCTAATATCAATATTATTAAGAAAAATAGAATATAATGTTGAATTTTCTGGAACATGTTTAGGAATCGATGGATTTTTCTTAGTTGTTTGTTCTAAAATTGTAAGTTTATAAATTTTGTGACTTTGGGATTCATAATTTAACCTTAATAAAAGCCTATTCACTTCTTCCTCATTATTTGGTGGTAAAATTCCGATAGTGTCTCCAGGCTTAAATTGGTATTCAATGTCCTAAAATAAAAAAAGATTTATATCCTCACCAAACATTATAATATATAAAATAAAAAAACCTTTCGTGATAGATCATACTGGTACACAGTTTTCACTTCGGTATCAGTCGTCAAGCGTTTTATATCTTCTATTGTTGTTAAATATAAATCGCTATTTATAAAGGGCTTACTTCGGTATTGAAATGAATTTATCTAAAAGTGTATTATTGTTTAATATGAAATACGTATAGAAGTGCATGAACTTACACAATTGTTATTTAAATCACGCTGCTCCTGTTCGGTAAAAGTAATTTTTAAATAATTTGAATCCATTTTATGAACTCCAAATAATTCAGAAAATCCGAGAAAATCAGTAATCAATCAGTAATGAATGACATAACCTCAATAAATGACTGGTTCAAAAGAACTACTCATGAAGAGGCAGGGTTGTGTATAATGTAAAATACGAATTTATTTAACTATTTTACTCATTAGGCAACTCAAAATACATCCTAAAATATAAAAAATATTGAAAAATGTATTAATATTGAAAAAATAGTTTTAAAAATACTATATTCTAATAAAAGAAACTTGATTATTAAGTATTATATAAATAATATAATATAAAAATCGTTAATATCAAAGACTGTTAACGTATATGAAAAAAAATTCAATTTCATTACGACAATTACGACGAAGAAATTTAAAACACAACAAATGTAGCAAAATAATTAAAGAATATGATTTCTAATTAAATATTCATAAGTAGATAGCAAAATTTTGATTCAATGTCTTTAATTGTATATTATTATAAACGATTATATAATTAAATTTAAAAGAAATGGGTGGGTTTAAAACTTTTACTTCCACAGATAAAAAAGAGGTGGCAGGGCATGTCAAATCAAGCGCACTTCAAATTTGATAAATGTTTATTAAATGATGCGGTTCTGTAGTGATTTTTGTTAAAATATGGATCCAATACGTTACTAATGGCCTCTTATATAAAGACTTTACGTTGAAAATATGGTTGAAATATGTAAAAGCGGAGTTTATGCAAAGCGGCATTTCCTCTATCTTTATTCGGAGGCGTCGCGCGCCACTCGCGGCCCGTTTGTAGAACGTAAAAGCAAATGGCGTTGCTCGGATGTTTTTGGGAACGTCGCCATTGTTGTTTAATAAAATACAGGAAAAAAGCGGTTTAGTTCTGTGTTCGTGTTTTTTGAATAGTTATTTTTTTACGTTTGCGGGGCAGAATCGTTTTAAAACTACGTTTAGCGGAGGCAAATGAAGGATTACTGTGATAGTGAAAAAGTGGTGCAATGTTTGTTGTATGCGTACTTGTAAATCGGTTGCGCTTATTCACTTAGCGTTTCGTAAGCTTCGTTTGGACTCGTCACGTGGGAGTGTTCTGTCTGAAATACCTTTCAGTTACGCATTGTTGAAAAATTAAAACCACCGGAAATAAAATTTTGACAAAGTATTATTTGGCGCCATGAGGACTGATATCAGTGAATGTGCAAATGTGTTAGTTACGCTCCCGGTATTATTTAACTTGTGTATTTACCATCTGCGTTCTACCGGCAAACGGTTTTGACTGACAGCCCCGAAACTATCCAGCCCGGGAAGTGTTATTTATGGGATTTTGTGTCGGCATATCGATCAAGTAGTACACTTTTTGTAAGTCTTTTTTTATTGTTTATGAGATGATAAGTTTTGCCCGAAGAACTGAATGAATGGGACTGCGTACGGCCTCGGTGAGGCGCTCCGATGCGGAGGTCATGGCCCCCGCTTTAACAGATACGGTTCAATCACAAAACTTTAATTTATCTTCGAAAAATCCCGCGTCTCCTCTAAATAACTTCGAGACAAACAAGTATTCGCCGACTCTCGCGAAGAGAGCTCTAAATACAGATGACTTGAGCTTATTAGAAAATATCGAACCCGTTAATTTGGACTCGAAGAAACCGATATTAGAAGAGTGCTCGGAAAAAGTAAACAGTGCCTCGGATAATAATACATCGTCTCAGAATATGAGTGTAAGCTCATCACCTATGGGTGACCGAGAAGACAAAATGGGACTCGAAAAAACGTTACTTAATAGCACTTTAGAACCAAATGTAGAGGATATTATGCAACAGGTAATTAAATCTATAGAGACAAGTGAACAACTCAACAATTCAAGTGATCTGAACGAAGTATTAGATTTAAATATCGACAAAGATTTACTCGAACAAGTAGACAACATCATCAACATTTCAATGGACGATAATCACGATGATTTAGAAACAGCTCATAAAATCAAGGAAAATCAGGCCAGTTTAATACTGGCCGATCTACAGAAGAAACATGCACGAATCGAAAGGAGGCTCGACTTCCTCAGAAGACGCTGTTACAAACTGGAATCGAAATTAATGGGAGAACATATTAGTGGAGAGGTTGCCGGAGTTTTCGAGCAAGTTCATCGCTCTATAAAAAAATCGGAATCTTCACAAGACAACGAAAAACATAAACCGATCTCGGCAACGTCCGTTAAGATGCTAGTGCGAAAATTGGAGATGGCCTCTGTGCTCCAAGCGAACAACGCGGCCCGGCAAAAGAACATCTCGAAATATTTCGGTTCGGGTTCGATAGAAGTGTCGATGTTTCGAAATAACGTTACCGGACAAGTCGCTATTCCTCAGTGGAGTGCGGAGCATAAAAGTGAACTGGAGAAAGTAGCTGGGCAGTTGCAGTCGCAGCTGCATTTGGTGCAAGATCAGTTGGACTCCGAGGCTACCGAGAGCAGTTCTGGCGGCGAGAGTTGCGACGAATTTCAGACCTACAACAATCCTCATCAACAGTACCTCAGCATGTAAGTCTCTTTAAATTGTTATGTATAGTGCGGTTTACGAGAGTTGACGATTACGTCATAAAACGTATTGTATACGATTAAAAAATATTTTTTTTTGTGAAACTGGTACCCGCATCATTCGTGAATAATAGAATAAAAATAAAAATGTATAAGAACAATAGGTTTGTCTGTCTCTGTTTGATACAGGCCAGGATTAAGCCATCTCCGGTCCTAAGACAATAAATTTAGAAAGTTGTGTTAGTTTAATGCATTTAAATATTAGTTTTACATGGTTTTCTGATTAAAAATAATCTGATGCACTCCTCATCTTTCTTGAATTAAACTGTACACACTAGGTATGTCAAATATTGACCTATAATAGGATTTAAACCTTCTTTAAATAAGTTCTAAAAATGATTGAGTCATAAACAAAAGTAGGTATTTAGGTATTTGGTATTTAAAAACATTTCATAAAGGAAATTTTTCTCTTGTATTTTTGTCCAATAATTATTGCTATTTGTTCATTTAGAAGAATTTTTGACAGTGACAATTTAAAAATGATTTCACGTACCTACCTATTACAGAAGTTGTTATTTATCTCATATTCAAAGCAGAGCAAAGGAAAAAATATTTTATATTGCTTCAGCTTGGAAATTAATCACACGTGTCTGTTGTTTTAATTCCAATAGAAAAAATATACTTAAATATGCATTTTAGCTTACTATATTTGATTATGTGAAGTGTGATTTTATTTATGTAAAGTGAAATGATTGTTTTTTTAGCTAATTTTAGTATCCTATTATTTTGAGTGACTTGACCTTATATTACACAATAATATAAAGTTAATTTGTTTATTGCATATTTATTAGTATTTTTTTAATAGTTTGATGTTTAAGTAGTAATTTAACAAAAAAAAATTAGCAGGTATTGAAAATTACACAATATTACCAAACCACCCCAAAACGCTTTAATATTTTATTGGGCCTGCGTTTCGCAACCATATTAAGATCATCAGCAGGTAGTTAATATTGTAGGTACCGTATGATATCGAAAAAAAAACGGCGTCAACGATGGCTATGAAATGAAGATCGCTGTCATTTTTATATGTAAATTTATATGGGGGGATCGTCATTTCCTAGCCAACTGGGCGTCGTTTTTTTTTCGATGATAAGGTATTATGTTTGTACTGAAGTTACTAACATGATTATATCAAAACGTGAACGCAGAGTAAAATTTAAAAAAGGCATTTTAATTGTAGTTGGGTAAAATTGTGAAACTTGCTGTTGTTGATCAGAAAGTTCACAATTTGAAATGTACATTCCTATACATAAGTTATAAGAGAAAAAAAAGTAATAACGTAAACACAAAAAATAGTGTTCAAATATACTATATCATATGATAAAAAATCCCCGTCAAGATTGGCTTGGAAATTGCTTGGAAACGAAGATCGCTGTCATTTTGTATGTAAAATTATGGTGAGTGTCATCTATCGTCATTTCCAAGCCAACTTGACATCGTTTTTTTTTAATGATACAGTTTTTTAGAGTACCTAGTATGTATTATTTTTATTTGTTTTAAACTGTCTACAAAATATGTGTTGTTCCTGTTAGTAGGTATGCAATTTCAAGAATAAATTATGATCCAAAATATGTCGTAGTAATTTTATAGAAAAAAATACAAACTCAAATCATGTCATGTACCTACATACGCAATATAAAATCCCATAGAAAACAAATAAATAGATTTTTTCTTGACTTCGCATTTTAACCTTGGAACATTATTGACGCTTTTGACTGTGCTTCTGATAATTTTACGCCCATAAGATTTTTTTTATCACTGTTAACTTGGGTAACATATCATTTCTACAAAAATTAAGAATGATCTTACCTCTATTTATGGTCCAGTAACTTTTCCCGTTGGCCAATAACAGTGCCCAGAATCAGGGTTCGGAAGTAGTTAATTAAGACGTAATTTACCTGATTAACTATTACGTGTAGTTTTTCTTCAAAAACTACGTCTTTTCCCGTTCATTAACTACATGAAAACTACGTTAATAAACTATGTATTGATATTATGAATAATTTTCCTTTGTATCAGGTGTAATAGAGATACTATGATGTAAATATTATATTTAAAGCCATATATCTTCTGTTTTCTTAAATACATTATGTGTTTTTAAAGCTTCAACTTATTAAAACCTCAACCCTTTCAAAAAAATATTTGAAAGTTACATACATAGATTACATAAACTACACCCTCTACATAAACTACATTAACTACCTGTAATGTAGTTTATGTAGTTTTTAAAAGTACTTAACATGTAGTTTTCCGAACCCTGCCCAGAATATTAAATGAAATATTTTTTGATATATTGACACATGGTTGCCATTAAGTTAAAAAAAACAGTCGTGAATATGAGTTAAGTAATTAGTATTAATGACCGTATTACTCATCTTAACAATGTAATTATTTAATTAAATTAGAATACCGAGATAATTTATTTACGATCGTAGTTTGAACGATTAAAATAAACGGGTATTTATATTATCTAATTAAAGTATAAATAAAATTTGAGCGCTTTTAGCTGTAAAAGACAAATATCGGTGTTGTATTAACTTTTAATATTGTTTTGAATGGGATTGCTACACGCACACGCGATCAGTTCAATAAAAATACTTCTTTTGGATATCGGTGTACTAGATAATTTGTAGGTACATACATATTATTTTTTAATTGCAGAACAATAATTATTTATACTGATATTTGTAGGACTATCTCTGAAAGGGCTTTTGCAATTTTGAGAGACACCATGTTATAGCAATCTTCTAGGATTACCCCCCAAATAAATTTACATAAAATAACAGATATTTTTGGTACATCTAGATAGGCATCCGCATATACAGGGTGGCTCAATAGTACGAGGAAGTCTAATATCGTCGTCGTTGACAAAGATATGAAAAACAGTTTTATATAAATGTTGTATAGTTTATTAAAGTACATATTCTAAGAATATTTTGTTTTGTACAGGGTGGCCAAAAATGTACAATATCTTGCACAAAAAAAGCAATTTCAAGAATTGTTTTGTACAGGGTGTCCCAAAAAATTACAACCCGCTATTTTCTGTACAGAATTGGGTTCAGCTTTGGTAAACAGTAGACACATTACATTTTATACTTGAAAACTTCAATTTTAAACTTGTAACTTGAAGTACTTACCTAAATATACAGGGTCTCTCAAGCTACTGAAGATGCAAATCTGTTAAAATAATTATGTGTGCTCATTTCAATTATTAATAAAATAGTCAAACCAAATATACAGAAATACTTAATAATAATAGGTATTGATCGTTGATTGGTTCATACAGAAAAATGACCACGTGGTATGTTTTAACAGTGTTTTTTATAAGTAGGTTACTCGGGTACGGTTACTGTTATACATTTATATTCGTCATGTACGGATCAATTGCTAACCTTTCGACTCCTAAGCGTGATTATACTGCAATATATCAATCACAAAATTGATTGATCTTTTTATATTACAACGGAAATGTTTGTGATGTATATGAAAGTGTAATGGCATTATTGATCAAGTTGTCGATATACGTGGAGGCGTATTCAGAATTAAAAAACGTAGTAACGAGAATACTTCTTTCAGTTTACAATTTAACAGAAAAAACAGGATTTTTGAAAGTTTCTAGGTTCTTAGAGATCAAACCAAACCAATACGATCGAAAAAAAAAAGAATTTAACCCCCAGTATAAGCAACGCAGAATCGGACGTATATTGATATGAAAAATAAATATAATTCTAATATTTTTGTTACTTAATATTGATTAATTTATCATCACTATCTAATCTATTACATCTATTATGTAAATAGGATTAAATTAAAAACATTGAGTCTTGAATTAGAAAAAATCGGTGTTAAACTGTTATCACAAACTTTTTAATGATACCTATATCCTATATTTAACCGAGGGTCTTTGATTCATACAGTTTAATTGTAGTTACGTTGCTGCTTGTAAATTTCATTGACGAACTTAAAACTCATTAGCATTCCAGCCATACAATTTGGCGAAACTGGAGTTAAAAATACACGCCTATCAAGCTAGTAGTAGCTGTTGTAGTAGGCACATCAAACGCGGAAACAGCTAACAATATTTACAGAAGTTAATCAAAATATTTTTGAAGATATACAGAGGATAATTTAACTTTTATGTACTTATATACAGGACGCAAAAAACAGATTTAAAAATAAAATAAAAAAAATCGATTTTTATTAAATTTTAATCAGATTTTTTTTATTTTAATCGGATTTTTTTTATTTTAATTGAGATTTTAGTCAATTTTCTATTTCTTTTTATTCTATCTATTTTAATCCTATCCTAAATGGCTAAATTTTCGTAAATCTGCCCGATATCGATAATGTTAACATTTCTACAGCGCGTGTCTTTTTTCCATATCGGTCACCGATATATTTTATTCTGTAAACTTAGTAGGGTCGATGCCCCTATTTCGGCAAAAAAAATCGCCCGCATAGATCAAAGGTTTTTTTTTGAAATAGTCATGACTGTCTTAAGTCGGAGAATAAAATTAGTTCCATCTAATGTTCAAAGTGTAAAGTACTTATTGCAGAACAAAATATCCGTAGAAATTTGGAATGAACTAGAAGATAAATTAGGAAGGGCGGAAGTTAGCTTGATCAGCATACAGCTGTTTCAAGAAAGGTATAAAACAGCCTTGACTCCAGCTCAGCTTATCTTTTGACACTGATTAGTCCTCGGGAATAAAAATATAACCTGACATCAGAAGAAACTACTTCTGCACTATTGTTTGCGAATGAAATATATTCAAATACCGGATTTCTGGCACTTCCCAGTTTCAAAAAAAATCTCTGCCATTTAGAAGTGTAATGGATTCACACGAAATAACTTCAAAAATCGGTCCAACATTTTAATAGATGAATAGATATTAGGGAGCTCCGTCACGTTGGAACCCGCTTTCAAGTAAAGTTTAGTAAGT